TGTATATGCATGTGATCAGGTTGTATGCAAATGACATTTTCTGTGTATGCATATATGGTTGCCTCTATATGTACGAGTACATGACAATGATTGCATATGCATATGGTCTAGATGTATATGCAAATGACATTGGTTGTGCATGCATATGATCTAGTTGTATATGCATATGACATGCATATTTGAATGGAATGACTATCTATATGACACTGGCTTTATAAGCATATGATCTGGTTGTATATGCATATGACATTCGTTGTACATGTAATATTAATATATGCATATGGTGTTGTCTGTATTGGCATTTTTGGCCGCTTCTATATTTATATGACACTCGCCGTATATGAATATGATCTGGATGTATATGCTTATGGCATTGGCCGTATATGCATATTCAGTTGACTTAAAATGCAAATGAGTTGAATGTAGATACATATGGCATTGGCTGTGTATACATATTTGGTTGACTCTATATGTATATGCCACTGGCCGTATTTGCACAAGACATTGGCTGTGTATGCATATGATCTGGCTGCATATGCGTTCACAGCCGATGTACATCCATATTTGATTGCCTTCATATGTATAGGAAATGACTATATATGAATACTATTTGACTGATATGCTCATGACACTGGCTGTATATCTATATTTGGTTGCCTCTATATGTATATGCCACCTGCTGTATATGCATATTGCATTGACTCTACATGCATATTTGGTTGCCTCTATATGCATATTACAATCAATGTATATAAATATGATTTGAATATATACGCATATAACACTGGTTTTATATGCATTTTTGGTTGGCTTTATATCAGTGCTTCTCAACCTTTTTTTATATCGCGGATCACTTTCACGTAGAGTTTGACTTCGTGGACCTCATTCAATGACGTGTTCAGAGGATACAATCGGTCGAAGCAGGCTTGTCAAACGAATCTAATATTTCAATATCAACGTAATCCAATATTTTTTTCGGCAAATTCTTGAATAATTCCGAATGATAGCCGCTCTGCTAGGTTGCAGCTAGGTGTTTCCTTTTTCGAGGAAGGTCTTGAAAATCTTTTCTGCGCTTTTTCACGTATTGTAATGACAATGAAATAGAACCTGTACTTTTTGGTTGTTTGTTATCTTATGTGCAAGCATGTGCCGCATATGGTTGCGACAATTTCGGGTCCTTCCGTAGTATGTGTACCAGGTTAGGGTTAGGCGACAATTTTCCTTATTTCAGTTCTATTACGAATTTGGGGACTGTCTGTGTTAGCCAAGTGAATTTTTCCCGCCCGCATAGATGTCAGTCCCTTTACACAACTTGGTGTAAAATATATGAACAAAATCAGTTGCCTCCAGCCATATACAGCCAATGGCATATGAATATACATATTGCAGCAGCCAAATATTCATAGGCAGCCAACCCATATGCATATACAGTAAGATCATATTCATATACATCTATTGTCATATGCATATACTGTAAGGCAACCAAATATGCATGTACAATCAATGTAATATGTATATACAGCCAGATCATATGCATATACATCCAGTGGCATATACATATTGAAGAATTATATATGCATATACAGCCAATGTCGTATGCAAATACAGGCAACCCATACTGATATAGAGCCAAACAAATATGCATATACTGCTAATGTCACATGCATATATTGCAAGATTATATGCATATTATATGCATATGCAGCCAGGGTCATATACATATTGAGGCAACCAAACATTTATATGCAGCCAACCCATATGCATATATAGAAATAACCGAATATACATATACATCCAATGTAATATGCATATACAGCCAATGCAATATGCTTTACAGCCAAACAATTATGCACATGCGTAAAATTGGTATACATATAGAACCATCTGAATATACATGTACAACCAATGTCATTTGCATACACAGCTAATGTCTTATGCACATAAAGCCAATGCCAACAAAATATGCAAATACGGCTAATATGCATATACAGCCAACTCATGTAGGACACACTGCCGTGTTTCCCCAAAAATAAGACCTACCATGAAAATAAGCCTAGCCTGAATTTTAAAATTGATTTCAATATAAGCCCTCTGCCCAAAATAAGACCTAGCCAATAACGCGAATATTTTTGACCTAGTCGAAATCTCTACTACACGTTTTAAATGATTGATATTAACCTATGTTCTGTAGTTATTTTGAAGAAAAACGTGTTATTAAGTAAATGGTTATCGGTTTTCATATTTTGTATATTTGAAAATAGTCGTTGTGAGAAATACTATTACATATACTTATGTCAAAAATATTGCAATGGTGAAGTAGGCTATAAGAAAATTTTCCAGGAATCAATGGTAGGGGAAACATTCTTACGTATGCCATCGCAACTCTGATTACCCTGACGTGTGGCCGCAAGTCTGATTGTGTGCGAGTGGACTCCTCGCCACCCTAGGTAGGGTGTATGACATGCATATTTGAATGGAATGACTATCTATATGACACTGGCTTTATAAGCATATGATCTGGTTGTATATGCATATGACATTCGTTGTACATGTAATATTAATATATGCATATGGGGTTGTCTGTATTGGCATTTTTGGCCGCTTCTATATTTATATGACACTCGCCGTATATGAATATGATCTGGATGTATATGCTTATGGCATTGGCCGTATATGCATATTCAGTTGACTTAAAATGCAAATGAGTTGAATGTAGATACATATGGCATTGGCTGTGTATACATATTTGGTTGACTCTATATGTATATGCCACTGGCCGTATTTGCACAAGACATTGGCTGTGTATGCATATGATCTGGCTGCATATGCGTTCACAGCCGATGTACATCCATATTTGATTGCCTTCATATGTATAGGAAATGACTATATATGAATACTATTTGACTGATATGCTCATGACACTGGCTGTATATCTATATTTGGTTGCCTCTATATGTATATGCCACCTGCTGTATATGCATATTGCATTGACTCTACATGCATATTTGGTTGCCTCTATATGCATATTACAATCAATGTATATAAATATGATTTGAATATATACGCATATAACACTGGTTTTATATGCATTTTTGGTTGGCTTTATATCAGTGCTTCACAACCTTTTTTTATATCGCGGATCACTTTCACGTAGAGTTTGACTTCGTGGACCTCATTCAATGACGTGTTCAGAGGATACAATCGGTCGAAGCAGGCTTGTCAAACGAATCTAATATTTCAATATCAACGTAATCCAATATTTTTTTCGGCAAATTCTTGAATAATTCCGAATGATAGCCGCTCTGCTAGGTTGCAGCTAGGTGTTTCCTTTTTCGAGGAAGGTCTTGAAAATCTTTTCTGCGCTTTTTCACGTATTGTAATGACAATGAAATAGAACCTGTACTTTTTGGTTGTTTGTTATCTTATGTGCAAGCATGTGCCGCATATGGTTGCGACAATTTCGGGTCCTTCCGTAGTATGTGTACCAGGTTAGGGTTAGGCGACAATTTTCCTTATTTCAGTTCTATTACGAATTTGGGGACTGTCTGTGTTAGCCAAGTGAATTTTTCCCGCCCGCATAGATGTCAGTCCCTTTACACAACTTGGTGTAAAATATATGAACAAAATCAGTTGCCTCCAGCCATATACAGCCAATGGCATATGAATATACATATTGCAGCAGCCAAATATTCATAGGCAGCCAACCCATATGCATATACAGTAAGATCATATTCATATACATCTATTGTCATATGCATATACTGTAAGGCAACCAAATATGCATGTACAATCAATGTAATATGTATATACAGCCAGATCATATGCATATACATCCAGTGGCATATACATATTGAAGAATTATATATGCATATACAGCCAATGTCGTATGCAAATACAGGCAACCCATACTGATATAGAGCCAAACAAATATGCATATACTGCTAATGTCACATGCATATATTGCAAGATTATATGCATATTATATGCATATGCAGCCAGGGTCATATACATATTGAGGCAACCAAACATTTATATGCAGCCAACTCATATGCATATATAGAAATAACCGAATATACATATACATCCAATGTAATATGCATATACAGCCAATGCAATATGCTTTACAGCCAAACAATTATGCACATGCGTAAAATTGGTATACATATAGAACCATCTGAATATACATGTACAACTAATGTCATTTGCATACACAGCTAATGTCTTATGCACATAAAGCCAATGCCAACAAAATATGCAAATACGGCTAATATGCATATACAGCCAACTCATGTAGGACACACTGCCGTGTTTCCCCAAAAATAAGACCTACCATGAAAATAAGCCTAGCCTGAATTTTAAAATTGATTTCAATATAAGCCCTCTGCCCAAAATAAGACCTAGCCAATAACGCGAATATTTTTGACCTAGTCGAAATCTCTACTACACGTTTTAAATGATTGATATTAACCTATGTTCTGTAGTTATTTTGAAGAAAAACGTGTTATTAAGTAAATGGTTATCGGTTTTCATATTTTGTATATTTGAAAATAGTCGTTGTGAGAAATACTATTACATATACTTATGTCAAAAATATTGCAATGGTGAAGTAGGCTATAAGAAAATTTTCCAGGAATCAATGGTAGGGGAAACATTCTTACGTATGCCATCGCAACTCTGATTACCCTGACGTGTGGCCGCAAGTCTGATTGTGTGCGAGTGGACTCCTCGCCACCCTAGGTAGGGTGTTGCTAGGATATGCCTTGCTCCCTCCTCGGGTCCATGCATTTAAAATAGACAACTGACTGACTAATCCCATCTGCGACTTGTAACTGGACTCGTGGTCGTGGTCGCTCAATGTCGTGGTGCGCAACGTGATTAAGCCGTCTAGGCCTCCTGTCGTCTTAGATTTCGAAATCCTTTTTGTTAAAAAGCACTAATTTCATTGTTATTCATATTAATAATAATTTGAGGTACAATTTATAAAAGTTCAGTATTATAAAATAAAATCTCCGCCATAGTCAATATAAAAACTATTTAAATATTCGAATTCAACGGAAACATTACTTATTTTTGTTTGGAAATTAAAATCCACCTACTTTTCTAGTAACGTTCCGCGTAATTGCGTAAAGTCCGTGTTTTGTTGCCACATCGTGCAGAATGCTGCAGGGAGCGAGCGGGTGCGGTTTCCTAGAAAGATTAGTTGCTAGTTTGCACAGCTGCAAGAGATTGGTAATAACAATGATTGGAATCTAGGCTAGCTGGAAGACAAAAAAATGGACCTAAAAGCTGACATTTCCGATGCATTACAGATTCCTGTCGAAAAGCTCGAAATTTGTCGTCAACATGCAGCTATTGCAACTGTTCCAACTAAATGGCTTGAAAAGCTCAGAAGTTGCCAATGCAATTCTGATTTGAGTGTTGATAAGGAAATATGGGAAATGTTTAATAAAGAATCGATGACAAATTATATGCCTGATGATTGGATAAATCTTGTCATTAGTGTATTAAATTGCACTGAATTGGGCATGGACATTGTGAAAGATGCAGGAAAAAGTGAAGTTCCTCACAAACTATTTGACAAGTCATTTATTGGGACTTTTTCAATTATAGCAGAAGAGAATAAAAACGGTTTATTCAAAGATTTAGTTCGTTCAAGTGAGCAGTGTTATTGCATAGAAGAAAAGAAAGATTTGGATTTCAAGTCTGAGAATAAAACAGAAATTGAATGTTGCTGTGAAGTTATTTCAAGAATCCATGGCGTACCGCTAATAGACTTTACAAAAAATGAATCCAACGGTACAAAGTTTGACAATGTCGATTCTAGGTCCGGAAATGATTCTCACTTGAGTATGAGCAATGACGAAACATCTCATACGAACTTGAAAAGGGCAATAGTCGCTGTTTTGAAAAACAGTAAAATTTTTTTGATCAATAATGTTATGAATTTTACTGTGAAAGATGCATTGATGTACAGTCCAGCGCTACTTCCAAGTGAAAGCATCAAAACTCTATTTATATTATACCAAACAAACCAGTTTTTTCACCATTTTCAAGAAAATTGTAACCTCGATTTAAGCTTGTTGCATTGGAGAAATGTTGAACTTGATACAAGGTTGTGGGTAAAAGTTAACTTGACCGAAAAAGTTTTTTTGAAAACACAAGATACCAGTAAAGATGAAAGTTTCATAAATAAGTCTAACAGTTCGTCTCAGACTCAAAATAGTGCCAAAAAAGCACAAGATAATAATGTCAATAATGACAGCCTGTCAGACAGTTTAGACAGTTTTGAAATGAAAGAAACTGTCAATGAAAATCGTGATCAGAATCAACTTTTTGATTTGCTGGATAAATGGGTAGGTAAATAAAAAATATGGTAGGAAATAATTCAAATACACAGGATCTAAATTCAGTGTATTTGCCAAAACTTCACTATAAACTACCCTATACTGCTATATGTAATATGTGGGTAATCTCACTATGTAACAGAAAATATAAGTAGGAAAAACATGATGAGATACTCTTAGCATATCTAAGATTTATTCATTATGCGTATTTCGATATTAAATTTGACTTTTTCAATGAATCTTTTTTTGTTTAGATCTGTGGTGAACTAAGCAATTTCGACTACTTGATGTTTCTGAATAAACTATCTGGTCGATCAGGAAAAGATCCGAACCACCATCCAGTGTTGCCATGGGTTTCAAACTTTGATTTTGATGATGGAGAATCATGGAGAGACCTTACAAAATCTAAGTACAGGTGGGTATGTTATCACTCGACGATGAAATTTTCGAATGAATTGTATTTAACTATTAAGCATGTACAATTGGTCACGTTTTCAACAATTTTCACACCGTCTTGTAAGGAACTGATATGGAACCTTCCAAGTTATCAAGCATTGGCTCAGGAGTGTGGATGAGGTTAAAGTTGCTAAGCCCATGGAATATGGTGTAATTAAAATTCTCCTTATATTTACTCCCAGTTTTATATATTTGTCGAGGCTTTTTGCTGAAATCCGTTAGCTTGCCCTGGTTTATGGATATTCCATGGTTGTATTCAGCAACCTATACCAAAATGGCTAACTTTTTTGATTTTGTATTTTGGTTTCATTTTATGCATATAATGCTCATGGACCCAACAAAATTCTCCTCTGGTGCTCTATGGGTTCTGCGCCTCCCCCTCTATACTCTGCTAGCGCCAGAGAATGGTGGTCATGCCGCTATTCCATCTAATTAGCCTGTTAATATTTTGGAACTGCCAACCTATAACTCATATTTGAGCTCACTTATTTGTTCAAATTGTCATTCTCTACCAGAAAATATTTGTTAGGTTTGATCTTTCCTGCCTTATTTTGTATATTTACATTTCTTTATTCTGGATATTTATGTTTCATCCACATATTTTTAACATGTTTTTGGAATAAAACATACTTTCGCCTCATTATCTGTTATTTTTAGCTTACTCTTGGCTACTGGTACCGGTAGTTATTTTCAAGACGGGGGCGTGGCTTAAAAAGTTTTAGAACCACTGCTTCATACTAAATTTAGATTTCACTTCATTTTGTCTATTTCAACTTCTCGAACTTCATTTCAGGCTTAATAAAGGTGATCGTCAACTCGACATTCAGTACACTATGATGCGAGATAGCGCGGATGAGAAAGATACAAAGTCTCGATTTCGTGCTCCGAATCTTCCCCAAGTTCCGCATCATGTCCCAGAGTTCTTATCTGATATTACGTACTATGTTTACATGGCAAGAAGGACATCGAAAGATATTTTATGCAAACTTGTGAGGTATGTGTTTCTATTTTGTTATTTGTTGCTACATTACTTGGACTGCTATATGCAAGAGACTTGCTGTACACCAACACAAAGCTATTTCAATTATGTTTCATCTGACCAAGGTCAGACTTGTTCGAAACATCTATGTATGGCCCATGCCATTAATTTTGCACAGGATCCCAAAAAATCTCATTTCTACTAGATTCATTTTACCTTTATAAGGCTTTGGTATTTGGCTGTGTGGCATAGGAAAATTTACAATAGATTCTAACCCACAATGGTGGATTGAAAAACATTTTTTTAACTCTCATCTATGAGCTGAGAAAAAATTTTGGACTGAGATTCTGGCTGCCGACTCCAGATTGATTGTAATTTTAACTCAGACTCTGTAGTTCTGTACTCTCTTGATAATAAAATGCTTATGCGAACCTTTGGTAAGAGACCGCTTATTCAATCTCCCTTTGTATATTTCTTAAAATTATTTTAATTCCAGCTCCGTCTGTTGACTTCATTTATAATTCAAAATTTCAACTCCCCAACACCGCAGCCATGGAATGTTGGTTTATAACAAATTTATGTAGATGATTATGTAGAAGATGTATTCATTTTAATAATTTTGATTTTAAAAATTGCTAAAATATGCATTTCAAAAATTAATGTTCATTTTTCCGCAATAGGTCTTACTGGGAACCAAACGAATATCCAGCCAGTATTCAACGCATGCAAGTATGGACACCAGATGAATGCATACCAGAGTTTTATACCGATCCTACGGTATTCAAGTCTATACATGAAGACATGACTGATCTTGCTGTACCTAAGTGGTGCAGAGATGCTGAAGAATTTGTTAGAAAACATAGGTAGGATTTGGAAGTATGGAAACAAGGCTTTTGGAATAATAATTATTCTTCATGATTCAATGCGGATTTGCTTTTATTTTAAACTATTGTGACATAACAAGCCTAACTTTTAACTCATGGCAAACGTCATGTTACGGCTAACCGGTTAATTTTACCCGGTTAGTGGTTAAAGTGTTTTGTCCAAAATCCCAGGCCTGGTAAGTATATTTGTGAACTTCAGAGGAATTGGCTTCAGAGCAGCTGGTTGCAGACCAGCAAAATTATCTTCTTTTAATTGGTCATCCCTTCCTTTTTTATGCTATATTTTCACACTTCTGTCTATGAATAAGTAGCCAATAATAAGATTTAGTGGAATCACTGTATTCTTTCCAGATCAGCATTGCCTATCTAATTCATTACACTTTGCATGAGTTGATAGGCATAGGAATTGAAAACTAGATTTCTAATCTGCAATGCCAATGTAGTCAAGTCCAATGCTCTAACCCAGTGGTTCCCAAACTTTTTTCGAGCGACCCAAATTGAAAAAGTAGATTTGTAAAATATCGCAACCCAAGGATATACTAAAATACTGAACGAGTAGTACCAAAATTATATGAATAATATAAAACAATACATTTTATAACATTTATTTTCCCAGAAATTACTTTCAAGTGAGAAAACTGTGCATGTTTGCCATTGACAGGTTTTTGAAATTGTGTGGCTTTGCTTAAGCAAAATAACTGGTTCCAAGTTTCTACGCAGACTCACACATGCAATTACTATTAGGGCAACACTTCGATACCTCAATATAAAATAAACAATAAAACTTTCTATAAAAATAAAAATTACTAGCTTTTAGTTTTTGTATTGAATAAAAGCAAGTGACCCAAGAAAATTTCCAGGCGACCAAGTTTCGGGTCGCGACCCATATGTTGAGAATCCATGCTCTAACCGCTAGGTCATCACGCATGTGTCTACTCTTTCATTTTTCATGGAATAATATCAAAACATGAGTTTTGTTTTATTTTCAAGGGCAATGTTAGAAAGTGAACAAGTTTCTCAGCAACTTCATTATTGGATCGACGTTACATTCGGTTACAAGTTATCGGGGGCAGATGCAGTGGAGGCAAAAAATGTCTGTCTCCCTCTAGTGGATAATCATACAAAACAAACTAACAGAGGAATTGTCCAATTATTCAACGCTCCTCATCCGAAAAGACGCTGTAGAATTCAGGTTAAAGTTAACGTTATAGTTATCCTACGATTTTCCTAGTAAATATTCTATATGATAAATATGGCACCGTAGAAGCATCCACTCTTATTTAATTACATCTATTGATATACTATTTATTGGAAGTTTCTGAATCTTTCCTGTTCAACATTGCCTACACAATTTATGGTACTCCTGAGTATGCGTACCAGGTTAGGGTCAGCCCATAATTTTATTCCCATTTTTCTTATTTTAGTTCTATTACGAGTTCATGGACTGTCTGTGTCAGCTAAGTGGATATCCCCCTGTCCATAGGTTTCAGTCCCTTTACACAACTTGATTTAAAGTAGGTGAACAAAATTAGTTACCTCCATATTGGTAAACATACTTTTGGAGCGCCCACTTTATTACGCCCTAGATCAGGGCACTGGATTTGTACCAGAGATAGGTAATCTGTGCTCCAACCATAAACTCAATTGAAAATGATTCACAGGCACCAGAACCTCCTTTCAAAATTAATGTTGTCGATGATGAAAGTTCAATTGACTTCCCACCATCATATGATCCTCTGAAAGAACTTGATGAATTAGAAAAATTATTGAAATTCAAAGCTAAAACATGGAAAAGGTCAGTACTGTAGAGTTTGTTTGTTTTGTACTTGATGAAAAGTTCACTTGAACTCTACGCAGATTTCACATTTACGTCTCCTCATTTAAATTACACAAACATGAAAACAAAAATTGAACAGGGATGCAATATTACTAAAGAGTACTTGGATGCATTATGACCTTTAATAATCTTTCTATATATAATCCATATTCTTACACTTATTATTTTTTTAACCTTTAGAATTGATTCTACCAATACACTCAGTAATGCTTTGGAATCATCAAGAAACTCTTTTGCCAGTAGAGGTCAGCATAGGACTATTTTGTCTGACCGAAATGTCGTAACTCTTATTTGTCTGATGATCGAACTCTATCTCCCTCAAGAGGTCAGAACGATGAATAAAGAGGTCTCTCTCGACGAAAGGTTTAAGGTAAATTTACAGTATAAAATTTCTTCTTTTATGCTGTGTTCTTATATAACAGCCAAAAAGGGACTTCAGATGCGTAGCCATAGGTTTGGTCCGATCAGGAGTGGCCGATAGCAGTTGGTGCATCGAACTAAGCATTATACACTTGCCATTGCAATCGAATCTATTCTTAGTTTTTGTTTTAGACCAATGGTTCTCAAACTTTTATGATGTGTCCTCTTTTTAGAATTTGTCAAGTCTCGCGCTTCATATCAAAATAAGTAGCTAACAAAAAGCTACAAATAACAGATAGTATGGCGAGAGTATGTTTCATTCAAAAAACTTGTTGAAAACTTTTTAAACAATTATTGTAAATACGTTGATGGAATCGCAACCTCTATACAGTAAAGAAATGTAAATATCCAAAATAAAGGAGGTCAAGATCAAATCTAACAAATATTTTTATTTTCAATTAGCTTCACGCCGTCTTGAAATATTTCCTACACCCCTTCTGGGGCGTGCTCCACCATTTGAAAACCACGGTTTTAGACATTAGACAACTGCAAGAATGGGCTACGTGCACTGCAGCTGACAACTAGCGTTATATGTGTGTTATACATTGTTGGATAAATATTCGATTTCTGCTCCGCTTTTATTTGAATTCTCTTTCAGATGTGCATTCAATGTTATAAACTTCACAAGTCTCGACTTTCCTCAGGAATTAACTTTGCAATTCAGTATTTTCTCACGAATCTCAGAAATTCTGAAGAAGAGTAAGTATTACTTTATATCTTTACATCATTTCTGAATCTTTATACAGACTTACATGTTGAGATGCTTTATATATATTCTTCCTGTATTCTGCTGTATCCAAAATAGCAGTATCCAAAATAGGCATTCTATCAAAAATTTTGACTTTCAGTAAAGCACTAAATAAGCACAGAGGCCAGGACTTGCTTTTCTCTTTGCTGTATTACATGTGCTGTTTTCATTCAGTGTGTGTACCAATATGGAGGTAACTAATTTTGTTCGCCTACATCGTGCTGCGTAAAGGGATTGAAACCTATGGGCAGGGGGTATATTCACTGGGGTGAAACATACAGTCCCGAACTCGTAATAGAACTAAAATAAGGAAAATCTGAATAAAATTATGGCCTAACCCTAACCTGATACACACACTACGGGAGTACCGTAGAAAGTTACTGAACTAGAGTTGAAAAACCAGAATGTTTACGTTTTGGCATAAAAGCTTTTGAATTTTGTAAAGAGCTTGGAATGAACAGTAAATTGATAGTTCAGTCAGTGCCCATAAGCTCTTCAGAATCCTGTATTTATATTGATTAATATTGTTTTTTTTGCAATATTTTTACATTATGATAAATTACTATTGTGCATATATGGATAACAGTTAATATTGTTTATTACAATATTGTTTTATTTTTTAAAAAATCAATAAACACATAAAAAAAGAATCCTAATTAATACTATTCTATGTACAATTTTAATAAAACTCTTAATTAAGCTTTTTTTTCAGGACCTATCTCCAACTTGCCAAGACTTCAAATTCTTCTCATTGTGTGACAAACTATGCATCTATATTTAAAACTGTGTCTGATAGGGGACTTCCCCCTCCTACACCTGCTCTCTTGTTATCATCGTATGCCCATATTTTACCTTTTCCACCCTACTTTGAAGATCTCTATGAACTTATGGATATTATTCTGGTGGGTGATTCAATTTTTGATCCATTAATTCTGTAAAATTTTGAACTTTAATTCGACATTGTACTTCTGGCAATTCTTATATATGATAAGATTTTTGTAATTATCCTGACGAGAGGAAAGCTGATAAGATGACATAATCATAATTATGGCGTACCACATACTGAACAGTGATTACGTGAACCACCCTTCAATGACGAGGAGTCCAACAATCCTCTCGCACATTACTATCCTTGGAAACCATTGAACCCACCTGCACAGGGTAATCAGAGGTGTGGTGGCTAGTGTATTTCTAATGCTTGAAACTTTGCTCTTGCATTTCTAATGAATCTAAGATGGAAATTTTTTAACCAGATTTTATTTTCCCAGATGAATACAGATCATTATAACAAACCTCTCAGTGATCAAATATTATCAAAAGTTACGAGGAAACTATATGAATTGTTTGAGAAACTTCACGATACGAGAGAATGTCTCCTCATACTGACACCTCATATTCAACGACTACTATGCCAAGCTACTGTGCCTGCAGTCAAGTTTTTACTTCATAATTTTGAAACTTTGTCAAAAGCTATGGGATCGAAGGCAACTTGCAATGAGATTTTCCCTCATATTCTTGCCTTGTATGAAGCATCTATAAATAAACATACAGAGAGAAAGGAAGATAATTTAAGCAGTGAGCCTGAAGTTCTCAGGTAAAGCTTTTTCCAAGCAATTTCTCGAACACTTAGAGAAATTGTGAAGTTTTTTTTTAATTACCGCATTTCACACCACCTTTCAGAACAATGCTGATTTGTAAGGATATGTACCAGGTCGGGGTTAGGCCCTAATTTTATTCCGATTTTCCTTATTTAAGTTCTATTACAAGTTCGGGGACTGTCTGTGTTGGCCAAGTGAATATACCCCTGCCCATAGGTTTCAGTCCCTTTACACAACTTGATGTAAAATAGGTGAACAAATTTAGTTATATTCATGGGTTCATGATACTATATAACTTTGAGATTCTACATTGCCATCTTTTTTCAGTGAATCTGACATTTCAAAATCTTTCCCAAATGATGAAACTGGAAGTGATGATGCACAGGCTGGCACAGAAGACATTGAAACTGTCAGTTGGCTCAGTGATGAAGTTGAAGAAATAAATCTTAAGACTAAAATAAGGTTGGCAAGCATATTGCTTTACTCATTACCTGGGAAGATAGGATAGGATTTACATATTTATTTCGGGGGGAGAAAAGCCGATAAGACAACTTAAATATGACTACATCACCAATCCTGCTGTTTTTTGTTAAATCATGAGTTATGTCTAACTTTAAATAATAGTGAAGCATCTAGATTTCCAAAAAATATGCCGTTTAGATTATTGGAAATCTAAATTAATTGACAATTTGGAATCCTTGAATATCAATCTATTGCGATTTAGACAACTCCAATGTGGTCCATTCGTTTAATTGTTGAAAAATAATATTTATATTCTCGTAATTCTATCAAATTCAGCTATGAAGTCAATTTTACTTAAGAAAAAGTAAATTTCCTGATTTTTTTAGTTTACTTTATCAAAATATAACCAGCAATTATTCCATATACTTCATAGAAAACAGAGATTATATCTCTAGTTGGTAATTAACTCACAATTTCAGAAAACCAGAAAAACAATCCAGGGATACAGAATCAAACAATGATGAATATGATACAACTATTCTGGCAGAATTATATAAGGAATCGTTTCTACTACAATTAAATACAAGACTTGGTTTGAAAGTTTTCATAGAAAATTTACCAAGATGCTTAGCTGATGCCGTGGTTTCGTATGAATTTTCTATTTCAGGTATTGAAGTTAGACAACAATAGTTTTTGCTAATGGGGTTCCTCTGCCACTGGAATGTTTCATTGGGGTTGCCAGAATACAGTTCATATATAGAACACTTGTCATAATAGTGATCATCATTCTTTCTGCTCGAACCATGGCAGTGGTTGTTTGTAATCACAATGGCTCTGGCTCCAGATCAACGGTGTATTTAAATTATGACTCCAGATATGAGAGCAGTGCTTCATTTCATTTACCCCTGAGCTGAGCTCCACCTGGCTGTTGCCACTACCACAAATCATCAGCGCAAATGTAGTAAGCTTGGCTCCAGCTACGGTAAAATACCACGGCTCCAGCTTCGGCTCTTCAGCTCATTCTAACGATGTAATTTTCTTTTTAGTAACTGCAAAACAAAGTATCTGTTGGTTGATGCAAAGAATTGGACCAACTTTGACATCGAAATATATTGTTCGACATTTATTCAGAGTTCTTAGCAGATGTTTTCTCTTCAGTGAAGGTAACATGATCATGCTTTTTGTTCGAGCCAGTAAAAAAAATTTCAAGATTGTAGGTAACACACAATTTTTCTTGGGAAGGGAGGCTGCAGCAAACAAAAGCATGGACACTCAAAGTCTAATATTTGATTAAGATTTTAAAGGGTCGAGATATTTATTTATTTTTTGGGGCGTTTTGAATCGAATAACAAATTATTAGAATCAGTTGAAAAAAAGTTTCTTTTTGTCTGCTCTAGGTCAAGGTGAATCTCTCCATTTTTTATGAAGCAATATTTTTAAAATGGATTTCTGACATACCGGTACATACAACACTTCTTAGTTGTTCTCTTCTTCAACTCTTCTTAGTAACTCCTCTCACTTACATAACTGAGTGATGGGTTCTATGTTTTGTGTCTTTGATGATATCAATGAAAAATGTCACATATGATTAACTTTAAAAATAAATTCAAATATCTTCTAGATTCGATTTGATGCAGAAATCATCAGGTATCAGAAAATGTCATTCCTACTTATTGATAGTAACTTCAGTTATTTTTATTTTTACAGGTTCAAAACCTTCAAACTCTGACTGCCATAAACCAGTACTAGATTGTTTGATTCATGCTGCATCATTGTTTGGGCCATCTATGCTGACATTGCAATATTTTGCTCATCTTATACATAATGTGAGAATTCTGTTTCTGATATTTTTTGCATTCTTTCTCCAAGCCAAAGCGTGATAGTCTCAATTTTTTTGCAAAATTATTTTAAATTTGAAAATATTCCAGTTCATTCTGTTATCTATCATTTGTATATTTATATATATAAGTAGGCTAATTTCAGCATCTGACCTGTCCCACACATCTTGTCAGTGGCTGCAATGGCTGCTTACAGAATAGAACAAATCTTTTGTGATAAAAAGAGACACTTGGAGGTATTCTTAAATCATCTGTGTTTGAATGTGTCTGAAATAGAGAAATTATGCCCAAGAGAATTGGAAAGTTTGCGCATGGATGAAATTTTCTAAACTTCATTTGAGATTGACAATATCAAAATTGATTAATCCTGATGTATTTTAGATTTCATCTGCTGCTCACCATCCCAAATATGCACCTCGGCATCAGGCTGCAGTTGAGGCTAGTGTTGCCGCGGTGACTCATTTCATAACTTTTCTCACCGACACATCACTCATGGAACAATTGAAAAGACTTTCAAAAGAAATTATCTGCCCGATATTAGATCTGCTGGCTCGAACTGATGTAAGGTAGGTAGATTTTAGTCATCCCAACTCAGTGGTTTTACCGGATTCCGTGGCTCCCTATTCATATAACGAAATCACGAACACGAGCTAATGTTTAGAACCCTGCCTGAAAATCTGTCCGAGTGAAAAAAGTGACTGCAAAGATTTCAACTGTTATGTCACCTTTAACACTTTGCTGATTGACCAATGTTACAGAAGTAAAACAAGAAACTCTAGGCTCGGGGAAACATTCATTGAAGGGGTTGAATTTTTGACAAGATTTGTAATTATGGGCATTGTGCAGGAATTGTACAATGCTGTTTCCCTAACTTATTGATTTTTTGTGTTTCAGTTTCTACGGAGGAGCCGAAGCTCGTAAATCACTTTGTTTGAAAGTAATTCACATGATGGCGCTATTGCTTATTAGAATAGGGAGAGAGATGTCTCGTCAACATCTTACACCGCTGTTCCAAACATTTTTCAGGTTTGTGATTTTTTTTACAAAACCATATTCTGTAGGTATCTCGGGGGAGAGTAAATTTGATATGGCAATTTAATCGTATGATGAACCACTACCCCTTGTTTATTTACCAATCTAGGTCCATCCATTTATGTATGGGAATAATTAACCAGTTAGTTGGTTCAGATGAATGGACTTCAGATGGAGGAAGCCATAATCGGCCAGTATATACCTCTGTACAAGGACGAGGAGTCTAGCATTCCTCATTTGCAATTTTTTTTTCTAACGGATTTTAAACCTGTGTAACCATGCAGGGTATTAGAGTTGCAATGACAAGTGTATTACCAAGCCTTAGCATAGTGCGCCAACCACCAAGTTCTAATAGGACAACTAATTCAAATTTCAGCAACCTTCCTGAATTTCTATGCTGTGTGTTTTTCTCACCATGACAGTATTCAAAATTATCTATCAAATTTTATTAACTATATATTTCAGCCACTTCTCACATCAACAAATTTCGAGCTCTGAAGTTTCTCATCCAGGCGTGAAATCTCAACAATTGAATCGATCTTTTGATTCAGTAGATTCAGATGCTGTCATCATTCATCATGATATAGATACCAGAACTTTTAAGGTGATGCTTGGTTTATAAAGCATGGAATAAACATTTTTTATGAGTTTGAACCAACAGACCTTTTTTACCAGAAATTCCTTCTACCATTGGATTGAAAAGATAAAAAGTTGCTTGGATTTTGACAGTTTTTAAATTGATAAAAAATAGGGTATTTTTAAGTATAAGTTTATTTCAACTCCATAATCAGCAATAGACGATAAAATCATTGATTATAGAATCGGGAAAGCAAACGAAATCTCAAGTGAGGTTTAAAGCGTACAGATTTTAGGTGGGAAGGTATGGATAAAAGTAGTAGTATGTGTTCGCTTACCCAAAAGTAACTTTTTAACTTTATGTTTGAGATATTATTCCCATTGCAATTATCTGAGACTTCATGGTAATTGTTTTCTTTCACTAACATTTGCACTAATGAACGGCTGCACTCATGGACATGACACCGAAACATATTCTTGCCCACAGATATTTGCACTCATTCTCATTGTACCCACACACATTTCCACCCATAAAAATTTGTGCTTTTCGAAAAATTTAGTTTTGGATGCACTTGGCATTGCTTGTTATTTGGCTGCCTTCCCTATAGCCAGACCCCTTGGGATCATAAACTAATATATTATACTATTATTCTGTTAATGATATAAATAATACAATTGACAAATATTGCTACTAAATAGGCCAAATTTCAAATCTATACTTTGGAATTGAATTTTTGTGACGAAACCTTAGATTTTTTATGTTTTCAAAGGTTGGGAACACTGTTTTGCAAGAGAGTTCCAGTGGAATGAGAAGGCAATTACATAAGTCTTGGTTCAATTATTCGCCAACCCCTTCACCTAACAAGGGAATTCAGGTAAAGTATACTAATATTTCCAGGTTATCCATAGTTGATTTAAGTAATTCATGTCAAGACGATCGAGAAAACAACTGCATTGCTTAATTGCAAATTCTCGGAAAAATATGTGGCAATAAAATTTGTGATGTCTATTTACCTCTAGGAATCAAGATCATTTGACAATGAAAATGCTATTGACAATCTGCAAGAAATTTGGGCGACATTTTGTCCAGAGACTGCTTATTGTTCTTATATCTCATTCACTCGTTTTCTCGGGAATATTTACATGGAGAAAATATTGGGGAAAGATTATGACCATATATGGAAATTGAGCTCCCAACATGAGAAGAGTATGAATGGGGAAAGTGGTCGAGTGAGTGTATTTTATTTTTTTAATATGAGAGAGGAATGCTGGACTAATCACAATGTGAATATGTTTATAGTGGTAAAGTTCAGGTTGAATATGAAAAAAGCTAACAACTGCAAATCTATGGTACAGGAACCACTCTTCAATAGTTAATGGCGAGGGCCTGAGACGTCTAGTAATCATTTCATATCTAAATCAAGTATTTGGTGGGAAAAGCTTAAGGGAGGGTGTGATAGTCTGTCTGGTGGCCAGAGCGCACTTTTAGGGTTTAATGAATTAGGGGTTCCAAAACTGGGGTAGATGTACCCCCTGGGGTACCTTTTGAATTTTAAAGAGGTACATTAGATTAAGTATAAGGGGAAAAAATTTCATAACTTCTGATCTGCCTTGAAATATTATTTTTTTTATCACTCAATGTTAATAATTTAAAGACCTGAGTTTGACAGCTACTTGGAAAGTCACATTTTGATCAAAGTAGAAACTGCAACAACGACTACAGTAACTAACAAGTTCACAGTCCACATGGTTTATTTTGTCCAATCACAACATGCAGTGCAATTTTAGGGATACAGGAACGAATCTTAAATTGCCCAAAGGGTACCAATAAACAAAGCCTTGATGTGTAGGCAATGCGGAACTTAAGTGATTTGTGCAGTAGCCTTTTGCGTTTGGGAAAAATGTGAAATCGCCTTATAAAAAAAACATGACTTGTATAAAGGGAAGATGTAATGCTTTTGCATATTTGTTTCACGTTTTTTTTTAAATCTTCCATAACTTTTTGCTTCCAGTTGATGTCAACCTCCCAATCTTATTCAACACAAAGTAGTTATACTTCTGACATCACAATGGTTGGAAATAAATTGATTGTTGCATCAGAGACTCCACAGGTGAAGTAATATTTTGTTTATGGCAGCATTCACAAAGTGTCATGATGTCTAATTTTTATATTCAAAATTATAACATTATTTTACATTTTCCTCTACATTCCTCTTTACAAATATTTTCTCATTTGGAAAGATATGAAATAATATATTTTCACAATTTGCAAAATGTGACTCAAATCATTGGTTTGCTCAACAAATGGCAAATGTACAAGAACACAAAAGTGTCATTTATTATTTAAGTTATCGAAATACATCTTATTCCATTAAATATATTTAGAATTTATTTTTAATTGAATTCTTTGGTGATACCTATAAATCCTGATGTCTGAAAAAAAAAACATCTCAACTCAAACACATAAAGTGAAATGACGAAAAAGAGCATTATCACACTCATAATCATAAATTCCCATTGCGGTCTGTATTCTGTAACAGTCTTCGCATTACGCGCTCGTTAAAGGGACGTCTTTTCAGCGTATAATGATTATTCATGTCGCGTGAAATATTCAATCTCTGACAACTACAAAATTCTAAAATGTCTTTATATATTAGTTTAATTGTGTCCACTGTCCAACGTAACTCGCGGTTTCTTCTTCTTACGTCAAAATTAAAACATTAGTTCTCTGAAATGCCACGGCGATCGGTGGACATAAAAATATGAGATAAACGGTGTATTTAATTTTAATACGTATTTTTGGAATCTTGCCAACTCGTTATCGCCGTTAGAAAAATCTCAATAACTGATATAAAATCCCGAAAAGTACAATTTTATTTCGTACAATGAAAATGCATATGAAGTATATCATTAAATCAAAAATACATATTCATTGCCGCGATTACGCCACTTGTTAAAAGAGCCAACGTTTACAACGAAAAATGATTTTTCTGTTGTGCAAAGTAATCAATTCGTGACCGATAAAGGCATATTTAAAATGTCTTGCTTTATTAATTTAATTGTCTTCAATTTAACCAGCGTTTGCGTCGACAAAACAAAACAATTTTTTACAATTCACAATTTTAAAATACCTCGGCCATTTGCCGACATAAAAATAAAAATTTGTGGTAACTGCCCGTCGCCTATCATATATTGTTTTGATCCGTATTTTTTCTATTTTGCAAATTCGACAAGTTTGAGATGTGCTTGTAACATTGACTCCGTTCAATCGCAATGCTGACACTCCGATTATTTTTAAAGATAAAACCTCCTGAAAAATCCCTAAATCTGCTGTAAATTCTCATGAAGTAAAATTTATTCCAGTACAATAAAAATTGAAGGATATACTTCGGATTAATTTTCTTATATATCATCACAAACCGGGAAAAAATCGTGTTTTCAACCTTGTTTAATGATAACACGAAAATTTTCTACGACAATTTTAAAGTATTGGATAAAAGGTAAATCCCACCCACAATTAAACATGTTTCGATTTTAGTGACGGTATGTTCCTAAACGGCGACCAAACATAATGTGCGCGGTAGGCACACGAAATTTTGCGACTAGAAAAGCGTTTTTAGACTGTCGCGGGACTTAACAAAACTTATATTGTTTACGGTTTTATTTTCCGTATTTTATAATGCCGCTTTTCAATCAAATTTAGATTGCGGTTTTACTCCTTCTTTTGTCTTTAGAACCTCGCCACCGATGAAGGTATAATAACTCACGAATTCACAATTCCGTGCAAAGTACAAAAATAAAATAATTATCATGTTTATCGTGGCACAAATTTAGAAAGAATAAAAACCGACGTAAGGGCGTTTACGGCCTAAATAACACGCTGATGAAAACATGGGCGATTTTAGCAGAAGGCAATTGCATGCTTTTTCAGTTTTCACATTTCCGTGCGGGTACAAAAATAAAATAATTATCATTGTTCCCGCGGCACAAATTTCTGATTTAAAGAGAATAAACACCAATGTAAAGGGCGTTCACGGCATAAATGACATGCCGCGTTGATGAAAATGAACGGCGATTTTAGCAGAAGGCAATTGCACATGTTATCGGCAACTTTTTCACTTTTCAGAAAATTCCGAAGGGGGTTTTTTTGATCCCGAACCCCCCCCCCCCCCCCCTGGCTGCGCCACTGATCACACTATATACCCAGTTGGGGTCAGCGCCTTCTCCCACATCCCTAGGATAATGCTCAATAACCTCCCAGATTCCTCATTGGCTACACTGTAAGTAATTCTGCTTGTCATGAATGAATATACATGCTTGGTAAGGACATACATTTCAGTTCATTTAATGATGTCACATTTGCACAAGTTGGTCTATGGATCGTTTTGTTATATTGTATTCTTCTTCTTGTGAAAAAATCGCTTTTCTCTTTTGGATCAAATGTTTTGTAATTTTCTGTGGTCAAAGAGTGCTGTTTTCACAAACAGACTCGTTTTTCAATTTGAAGTTTTGTGTGATGAAGTCATCAAAATTTAAAATTCTGCACCTTGTGGGGGTGCTGCGATTGTATTTCAGCAATCTCATGGTCAGCGAAGATGAGGTAGACTGCCAGAACTGTGAAATATATTACATTCGTTTTGCCCTTCATGACCAAATATTTCAGAATTGCTCACTTGATTTACTGTCCTGAATACTTGTATTGTCACTGTCTATGATGGTGTTTGTTTATAAATAGATTTCGTTTTATTCATTACTTTGTAGATAGAAACAAAATCCAATCTGGAATCTGATGATGATATTATGACTACTCTCCTGACATCTAGTGGTGGCATGAACGCAGAAGGCAAACTTGAAGGAAGTGCAAGAAGAAATTTGCAAGGTTAGAATGGAATTTAATAATTGATAATATTTCTTTTTCTGTTCATAAATGGTTTGACCATTGTAATTTGTAATATAACTTGAGATTTAATGCAGTTATTTGTTTACACCAGGGGTTCTTTAAATTTTAAAGTCTTTTTAGAATTTGTCAAGTCTCGCACCCCACCACCCAAAAATAGTAAGATAGTAAGGTGAAACTATGTTCTATTCAAAAACATGGATGGAATGTAAATATCCAAAATAAAGAAATTTAAATATCCAAAATAAAGTGATCAAGATCAAATTGAACAAATAATTTTATTTTGAATTAGCTTCACGCCCCTTCAAAAAATTGTCTCTGCCTTCCTTGTGGGGTCTGCTCCATCGTTTCAGAATCACTGGTTTACAAACTTGCAATCCAGTAATGATTGTTGTACTGTGTTTAAAATCAGACGACAAAAATTGCTGTGCTGTAGTGTGTTGTTAACTCAACCTGACTGATTTTACTACCCACCCGAGCCAAAATTTTTGTCGTTAAAATTTTTTTTGTCGAAATTGGGAATCAAAATCAAAATTTTTAACAAACTGGTGAATCAGAATTTTCTTCAACGCAGAAATAGATAGTAAATATTTTTGACTCCACAACCCTACTTTGAAGGTTGGATTCATGAAGAATTCAGTGTTTCACTAGAATGTTTTCCTCACATTTTTTTCACATGATTAACCTTAACTTGAAACCTTAACATGAAATCAAAACAAAAGTGGACACAGCAGTATAGTGCCATGTAAATACTGACGACCTGCTGGCGAATGTATCAATATCTAACATCAAATTTTTAAATTTTAGAGTTCCCCTCCTCTCAACTGACAGAGAATTGGTTGGCATATTGGGAACATGAAATCGGACTTCCGGAGAATGACAGACATATTCATTTCAATCAGATTGAACTACAACCATTTAGTGGTCACAGTGGTGCAGTCAGGTTTGTACCATTGCTATGAACAGCACACACTATTTAGTATATTGATGCGGTTTAAGGTTTTTAAAAGATTTCACAAAGCTACGATTTCTCGAAGCACAATTAATAATTGATATGGGATATTTTATCGTCTTACCTGTTCTGTCGAATGTTCCCGTTATTTTTTTTTTTATTTTGATAGATGTTTATCATGTCATCCATCAGAAGAATGGTTTGCATCGGGTGGAAAAGATAAACTTGTCAAACTTTGGTCTCTTTGGAATAATAATACAAGTACTGGGGGGAAGAAAGACAAGCAGGTACACTTGTTGTATTTTAAAATTCTGAAACGATAAGACTAGAGATGAAAGTCAATCTGACACTACTCTGTATTAGAACAGGATTTCCATCTTTATGAGATTGATTAGCCAGGTATTTGTGACGGACTAGCAGTTACGTGAAACACTCTAGACCAGCAGTGAGCACAGCAATCATCTTGAATATGATTATCCCCCATAAAATTCAAAACCCACGCAGGGTAATCAGAAGGGCGATGACAAGCATATTCCTAACGCCTAGCATGATGCGGCATACCACCAAGCGTACAAAATTATACCATTATGGCTAACTCTTGGCAATCGCACCTTCGCTTTCGAAAAAGAATTCACATTTACATATAAATTTATTTGTATAGATATATGAAATTCCTTTTTCCAAAAATGAAATTTTTTTGGCAAATCCTAATTCTGATCCAATTTCAACAAAAATAAATCTTAGTGAAATATTGCGACATTTGGAAATTCGTTTTTAATGACTTTTGAGATATCTGTAAAATTTGTGGCACTCTGTATTCCCAACTGGTCATTAACGCAAGTATAAACCCAGTATAGTATCGCTTACCTTACGATATCGGGGTCTTATGTTTACGGTTTTAGATTTAGATGTTTTTTTGATTCGTGGCTGTAAACTCATTAGATATTGTCTGATTAAAGTACTCATATCTATTTCTATTTAGCCTTCAACAACAAATCCATCATTTATTTATAAAAGTCATAAGAAAACAATAAATTACGTTGGAATTGTGGAGTCTGAACAATACATACTAAGTTGTGATGGAAGTATGCATGTGTGGGATCCATATACTGGCCAACAGGTGAGATGTTGCATCAACCAAAAATGTAGTTTAGTAATCCCCATTTCTGAACTAAATCATTGAATGTTGAATAGAAAAACTACACAAGTCACTATTTCCTAATTATGACCATGTTTAAAGCCACAGAAACATATAAAGTAACGGCGCTCCCGCAGTATGTGAACCAAGATGGCGGACACCACAACGTAGTATGTGTACCAGGTTAGGGTTTGGACATAATTTTATTCTAATTTTCCTTATTTTAGTTCTATTACTAGTTCAAGGACTAGCCAAGTGACTCCCCGGACTAGCCTAACCCTAAACTGGTACACATACTACGTTCCGGTGTCTGCCATCTTGGTGCACATACTACATGAGTACCAAAGTAACATGATAAAATGCGACTAGTCCCTGTTACCGGGGTGTAAAAAGCACTGGTTGTGTATTTTCAAGCCAATGTAGCAAAGATTTAGAAATTTTCAGAAGGTGGTAGAAAACTTTGAAACAACCCATCCTATTTGTCGATGCCCAATAAATCTGTCATATGGAACAAAATTACAATATGATGTATGATGGGGTGTCTTAAATTTTACCCTTGACCCCCCTGGAGGCCCATAGATGGTTATCTGGGTTAAAGTTATCATTTGCGATATCTTCATTTATTGAAAAAAATTTATTGTGAATTCTGTAACAGCTGTGCGTTTATTATTTTGCTTCCGATTGTTCGCTTTTTCATTATTGAATATGATGAACAAAATAACGAGTGGAAAATAATAAAAACCCAATCTAAGTATTTTTACTCGAAATGAGAGGGGATTGGAACATTGACAAAACGACTCAAATATGGAGTATATATTAACGAATATTTCCCTATTTGTCTAGGTGAATGTCTACGATAGCACAGATGTTAAATCTGGATTTGCATTAGCTGCAACATTGCCAGCACCTCAACGATATGCTCTGGCGATCACCAATGAAGCGAATGTACGGTTCATTGATTTTAGACGGAAAATTCTTGCGCATGAGTTCAAAACTGTTGCTGGAAATTCTGTCGGGATTGCAAGGTGAGGTTCTCTTATAGAGATTTTATATTACCGGTATATATGTTTGGGAGTAGCGATGACCTAGCGTCACAGCATTATACTTAACTGTGTTCGCATCGCATGTTTCACATTTTGCAAATATTCTGGATCCAGAAGGAGAGGAAAGTCAATAACCTGGCTTAATTATATGGCGAACCACGGCCTCTCGTTCATATGGCGAACCACGGCCTCTCGACCGGATACCAGTCCATGTCGGATATGGGATTATTTCGCCAGTTACTATATTTGTTTTCGGAAGCATGGACTTGATGGTGGAGGAAGCTGTAACTGAGCAGAAGTTATGTGAACCACCCTACGGCAGCCGCTCTGTGGTCATTTAGTATAGGGTCGAGGACCCGAAATCTGTTCTGAAGTTTAAATTCTTTTTGTGTTTTAGTAGTATATGCCGTAATATGGCGATTTTCTTTCTTTTATCCAGGGCGATGTGCACCACAAATGATGGTCAATGGGTTGCAATTGGGTTTTCTACAGGAGTTATATCTATATTGGATGTCAGGAAAGGTTTGCTTTCTATGAGACAAGGACATGATGCTGATATATCTACAATGGCTTCAGTATCTGAAAAGCAGTTTTTGACAGCATCTGCAGATCAGACTGTATCTGTGAGTGCTTTTTTGTGCAGCAGTGTTTGCCAACCAAGTAGAAACTTCTAGTTAAAAGGGATCCTTTATATACTGAAAAAAACTTCAATTTATCTTGAGCGAACATAGTGGCTTTATAGAGTCAACAAATACTTTATATTCCATGTCAGAAAAGGAGATTGTCCATGTTGTTAAAGCCTCGTGTTGTAACCGCATAAATGAGATAAACAGTGTTCACCGTCAAGCGTTATGTTACATTGTGCGAGCACACCACTACACCAGATAGTGTAATGATTGTTCGTTGCTCTCTTCCGTTAATTTTTAAGACTGTCCACCCGGTGTTTCTGTCTAGTGTGTACAATAAATATCCCTAAGAAAGGCAATTAGACCTATTCAAAACAACTTGACCATTCAATTATCATACTGTTTCAGCTCTGGGAAGTGCAAGGCAAACCACAACCAATTTTCATATATAAAACTTATCAAGAACCTATTCATGTGATACAAACATTTAATGATGAAATTATTGCTGGATCTGTTGCAAATAGAATTACTGTTCATAGATTACCAGCAGAAAGTGGAAATAGTGGTGAGTACCAAGGCCAAATGGTCAGTGGTTCTCAAACCGCGCCCCCATTTTAGAATCAGTTGAGTTCCACTAACCACCTAAACAATACTTAGCTAACAATTAGCTACAAACAACAGATGGTAAGGCGAATGATATGTTTTATTCAAAAATTCACTAAAAATTTGAGTACATAATGAAGGAATGTAAACAATGAAAAAATGTAAATATCCACAATAAGGCTGGCTAAATCAAATCTAACAAATATTTTTGTTTATAATTAGCTTCACGCTTCCTCAAAAAACTTGTCTATGCCTTATGTGTGGGGTACATTTGAGAACCACTGGGATAGAGTTTAATTATTTACCCCAAAGAAATATAGGATTCTCATATTCATTCCAAGTCATATAACCTCGGCATGCCACAGCTTCTTGTCCAGTTACTAGTCCATGTCAGATATGGGGTTAGTTAGCCAGTTATTTGTTGTTACATATCCATGAACTTGATAGTGGAGGAAGCCGTATCTGACCAGCGGTTTCGTGAACCACCCTACGTTAGTGAGGAGTCCGGCAACCTCTTACACAAAATTATATTCGCCACAAATTCAAACCTGCGAATGCATGGTAATCAGTGGTGCAATGGCAAACATATTCCTAGCACTAAGCATGAAGCACCTCGATGCATGATGCGCCAACTGCTGATAAGATGACTTAATTACATGGCGAACTGCGGCATTTTGTCTGGTTACCAGTTCATGTTGAGTGTCAGGATAGTTAACAGTTACCAGTGTCAGATGTATCAAATTTGGTACTCCTGGAGTATGCGTACCAAGATGGCGTACACCGGAACGTGGTATGTGTACCAGGTTAGGGTTAGGCCATAATTTTAGGTATAAATGCTACGGGAGTCGCTTGGCTAGACCCCGAACTCGCAGAAGAATTATAATGAGGAAAATTGGAATAAAATTTATGGCATAACCCTAATCTGGAACACATACTATGTTCTGATGTTCGCCATATTGGTACACATACTTCAGGAGTACCTCAAATTGATAGGATGGGTGTTTCAAGACAATGCAGACGGAAATAATCCACTTCGTACTTTTGAGGCATTCAAATGCTGTTTAATTTATCAGTAAATTCAAAGTGAACACTATTTCCACGTATTCAGGGATGAATGATCCAAAACAGATATCGGAACCTCGTGCAATGTCAAAATTCAGATCTGATTCATTCAAAGGAGTTTTGACTTCATTTTCAGTGCTCCCAATGAAACGACAACTCTTGGTTGCTTCAGACAATGGGAACATTAAATTAATGGCATGAATAACGCTTCTGCACCATTTTAAATTAAAGTAGTTCATAAATTTATTATTAGATTCTTCTGTTTTCATGGTAATATATCACTGCAGATGGTCAGTCAGTCAAATACATAACACATTTTTTTTAAGTTACAAATAGTTTCATCAGCTAATAGCAAAGTATTTCCCTTCCCCTGAATTCGGAAGCACTCCATCTGAAATGAGAAACTGGGGACTATGCTATATTTTGCAATAAAAATGCTGCGGTGGTACGTGGTTAATGGGTTGCTTCACAGCATGGTAAAGTCCTGGTCACGTGAGCCTCTTTGCCCAGGCAATCTAGAGAGCCGACTATCCCGCTGCTTGACTTATTAAGATCCTTCATTTTTGCTAGATCATTAACCAGCTAAGTTATTTACTTCAAGTCTGTGCATCTAAAGCGAATCAAATAATCAATACTATACTCTTGATGAATATGAAGATTCTCTTCCGTGATTATGTAGCTTTTCAGCATTAATCCTTGTATCCTAATTACTTGGAGATCTCGTTAAAACAGGGGTCACCAAACTTTTTTGACCACGGGCCGGGTGTGACTCAAATTGTGTTGAAACGGGCCGGATAAATATTTTTGTCAATGCAATACAATAAATTCACAAATGTTGGGAATATCGCAGAATATAGATCGAGAACATCCTAGGAAAAAAAATTAACAAGATTTCTATATCTAGACAACTATCCTGAGTTTAGCTGTTATCAAAACGTTGCTGTCATGAATTAGAAATGTTACAAAATCCGCGGCAAAAAATGTACGCATCACGTCTGCTAAGTACCGTTACGCCGTGTTGAAATACCGCTCATAAAAACGACTGCCTGCTGTAGCTTGGAATTCTATGAAATTTTGACATAATTTAGATAAAATAAACAACTATTATCTGGTATTTGAATTTTTTCATTAGCGCATAAATTTCCCAACATTCGACGCTTTTAAAAATTACGCTCCAGTTATACGCAGTGCAAATTATTGATATTTTCTATGGACACCAATAAAATTTATATGGACGTGTGTATTTCTTGTCTAACTTGATACTTACCAATTTTTATGAAGTTCGTACAATCAGAACATCGTTAATTATTACCCACAATGAACCACTGGCAAACTATCATGCACAACTCCAGCGTTTATTTGCGACGATCTTTCGGCGGTGTCAATGACCGTTGCCAGAATAAAATCCTGAAATTATCTCAATATACCATAGATGTGACGCACATCGAAAGATTAGTGATTGATATGTGTCATTTTTCCATATTTAGTACAGTTCTTATCAAAAAAGTAATACAATCATTATAGAAAAAATTGGCTGTTGGGCGGTACTAAAATTCCGATATCTCCGTTAGTTTTTATTTAAATCGGATGAACTTCAATTTTTTTGTAACATACCTACATAAATATCCGCATTAAAGCAGTACAAAAGTTAGTGTGGCTTTTGAAATTGGAGCGGTAAGCGAGGGATTACAGTACTGTTAGCACAAAATGCACATTCGGCGTTTATTTTAGCACGAAAAACAAACAGTTTCGTCGAAAGCAAGCGCCACGAGTGTGTATCGCAGAAAACGTTACGTACTGGTAGCATTCAAAGTCGCAAAAACGAAGGCCTTTGGCAGAGGAGGAAATGCAGCACATGTCATCAGCATAAAAATATAATTAATAATTTTGTCATTTGCAACACACCCAATGGCCTCTTGATTTAACTTATTGCATAGCATCTGTAGAAAGACGTTCGAATTCATATGAAACACCAAGAAAGGATTGGTTGAAATCGGAACAGGGTCCAGAAAAATTGGACGACTCTCACGCACGAATTTTCGAATAGCAAATAACAATGATTTAGTGAAAACCAAGCCAGTAACTTTTGATAAAAACATTTGAATCAATTTAAATAAACAGTTTGTTCAAAGTTTGCACCCCTTGTAGAGCGTCCATTCACCACAAACAATCAGTATCATAATCCGGATTGTAGTTAATCCAGTACATCATTCATTTATTTCACTATTCAGTGATAAAATTTATTACATTACATTAAACGGCATTCCCGTAGTATGTGTACCAGGTTAGAGTTAGGCCATAATTTTATTCCGATTTTCCTTGTTTTAGTTCTATTACGAGTTCGGGAATGTCTGTGTTAGCCAAGAGAAAATATCTCTTGCCCATAGGTTTCAGTTCCTTTATTTACACAACTTGATGTAAAGTAGGCGAACAAAATTAGTTACCTCCATTTTGATATACACACCAGCCATGGGCAGATGGTTCCAAAATCCACGGAATACCCAAAAAATCTCTAATGATGCGCGTGAGTTTCGCAGGGCCAATTTTGGTACTATCTTCAATTGCTTATGTCAGAAGTACGTTTTTATTTAAGCCCTGAAAATCTGTTGACCGGTAATCGATATTTCCTCAAGTTCTTCCTGTATTTAAGATGTTGTTCGGCAGTCAACAATGCGGCAATGCGTTACCGTGCTTATGCGCAGCATAGCCTCATATAGCTTTATGGGAGGCTTCCACCAGAGCATGAAAAAATTAGGATTTGGAAGTTTTACCAGATTTGTTCATGGTATTACTTGATTTAGTTGCTTTATTATTCCGTTTTTGGTAAACATTCTTCTAGCGATTAAGTCCAGGAATTTTCGAAACATTGGTCTTTAGAAATCGAAACGATATTTTTTCTTCGAAACGAAATACAAGTTTTTCACAAACTGTAAAACATGGCACCAGTATTACGCATCGAATTCAATGCATATTGACAGTATATTTCCAAGGATTAGATTTATAAAGAAGAAGCAATGGAAGCTAATTTGAGAAAATGAAATGATGATACAAAGCACCTCATGGAAGTTGTTATTTCCACAAAGGGTTTTGCTTGATGACAAAACAGTGACTAAATAGCACGAGAATAATACGAAAACAGATTGGCAAGTGGAATTATCACATGTAAATGAAAGAAAACTTGTGTACAATTACAAAAACGTGAGAGCCTATATCATCTTTCTTTTAAAAACGCGAGGGCTCTACGTGTTTGCCTATTAATTAAGCTAGACCTCAATTCACGAGAAGTTAAGGTTGCTGAAACTGATAGGTATTTAGGCAAGTGCAGTTTTAAGTATTCTGTGGCGTCTTCAGCTGCCGCAAAACCATAGCGGTATTTCCATACCTTGGCTGCTACGGCCAAACCTATGGCGACTGACTTTTTAGCTGCCACAAACCAATGACGAGCTGCCGTTACAGCGGCAGCAAGTTGAAAAGTAATGGCAGGTAAAATTTTGCTGCCGTAACCACGGCAGGTGGGCGTAAAGAGAGGGCTGTCTCTCATGGTGGCAAATATTGGGTAAGTTGGAACGTTTTTATTATGGATACAGTTTTGATGGATTTAGGGTTAGGGATTAAGTAGATATAATTGGACATGATCGATTAAAATCTGGTTCATTAATTTGTGTATATACCGTTAATCTTGATTACTGAATAGCGCTATAAAACCATGGCAAGAGCTGCCGCGGTTCTTTCGTGGCAGGAGCTGCCATGAAGTGGTAAGAACTGCGCCTCTATTTAGGGGCAAGCTGTGACAAAATAGAATAACATATTTTATTATCATGCAAGTAGATCAATGTTAGTAGACTTGCATCAGGGTCGGATTTACTATTAGGCGAGGTAGGCTGGAGGCCTTGACATTAATATTAATTTTACTATTATTCATTTTAAGTTGTTTTTAGATTTTAAAGGCTCGTTCCAGAATAAAACCGGTTTAAAATTATATATATATATATATATAAACTTCCTATATGCTCAATTGTTTTATTTAGGTTAGTACTTGCTGTCTCACATATTTACCGTTTAATAGAATAAAAAATAAAATGCGGTCGAATAAATATATTGTATTCGAAAAAACTCTCCTACTTTAACCATAAAAACAATAGAAGCTAATTTGAATTAATTGAACGCGCGTCTCGTGGGTAAAAACGAGGAAAATGCTGTCGGCTATTCTAGTGCCTCGACTTTTTTTTTAATAACCTTGAATTTATTATTGAAGTGTTGCTAAATTCAACTTATTTAATCTACTTGGATAATTACAGTGTATTGCCTGTGACCTAAATATCGGTGTGATTCCAGGATGTATTATAAAACTGTGCTTAGTTTTTTTCGTTAGTTATGGGGAAACGAAACAACTATCACTAACAACTTTTTCCCTCACCTGAACACGAGTCGGAAAAAAAGGTTGAGAAGCATCGTGGCTTCGAACTACATTTTTAGAACAGGCATATCATTTTAAAAATATGCACGACCATTTTTAGAATAGGCACAGCCTGGAGTGAGCTTCATTGATTTTTCAGGGCATAGTTTTTTTTCAAGAGGCTTATACTTCTGAATGGGCATGGGGTTTGGGCTTTTCAGCTTGTGTAAACCCACATTCAAGAGGACCGAGCCTTTCAAAGAAGAATAGTATACCTTTCTAGAACTATATATCTTAGCATCTGTAAAAAGTAGATTGAAATCATGCGAAAAAAAGGTTGAAATCTAACAGGGTTCAGAAAAGTTGTACGACTCTCACACACAAAATAAATTAATTCAATCAATGAAGCGGAAAAGCAAATGACAATGATTTCATCAACACTAAGCCAGTAATTGTTTAAAACATTTGAATCGATTTAAATAAATATTTAGTTCAAAGTTTTTATTTAGTTCCATTTTCCCCAAATTATTAGTTCATCAGTTTCCTAATCCAGATTGTAGGTAATCCAGTGCATAATTCATTTGTTTCATCATTCAGTGATAAAATTTATTACATTTAACACCTTGTTACAAAATGTTTGAAAAGCATCAAATGGGGGAGATTTTGGAATGCCGAAAAAGTCGCTAATATAATAACGTGTGTGAGTTTTGCAGGGCCAATTTTGTTAAAATCTTCAATTGCTTCCTTCTGAAGTATGTTTTTATTTAAGCCGTGAATATCTGCCAGCCGGTAATCGATATTTTCGCAAGTTCTTACTGTATTCAGGACAGTGCTCTTCAACAGGAGTTCC